GGCCGGACCTGCGGCCGCGGTCTGTAACGCCTCCCGGGCAGGGCCCAGCGGCGCGTCCGCGGCAGCTGATGCTGCAGCGTTCTGAGGTGCTGCCGTGGCAGATGTAAGAGATTAATTTCTTCAGAAGCTCTGTGTACGGAGAGCAGAAGTAGCTACTTACTAGCACTTTTTAAACTGCTGTGCGTGTTTTGTAAATGTGCCTTGTATGTTTCGCTCAGTGTTGCAGCATGGAGACTAATTTTTTTATCAATTAAAATAGAAAAACTGTTCGTTATGAGTCGGGATAAAGAAAATGCAGAAGCAGAACGGATTGTAAAAGGACGAAATGAAACTTCTTTGGAAAAACAAATTTTTCTTGACGTGTATGGCTTTACTAGTAGAAAGTATTTTACTTATGTTTTGATGGCTTTGGTTTTCATGAGAACTTAAAATATATAAAAGTCTGCTCCCACCTGGAATTGTTTCTGTGGTGGCATGCTGAGTCCTTGCTGAAAGATGGCAGTTTGGACTAGCAGTAATTATATAAGGTCTATAAATATGTCTCTCTAAATTTCAGTTGAACGTATCCTGAAGGCTTATCTTTTTTGTAGGCAAGTATTGAAAAATAGTCTTAAGTCTGAGAATATTGACAGGAGGTAAAGAACTGCATCTATATAAAAAAATCTGATTGTTTAACAAAAGTAGATATTTTATAATGTGTACCAGGTATAAGATAACTGTTTGAAATACTTAAATAATGTTGTCAAGTTGTTTTAAACAAAGTGGAAAGAAAAATTAACGATTGAACTGGCAGGCATAGTATTCTGTTACTCTCTGGAAAAACATCAGTAGCTGACTTTGTCTCCTGAAGTGGATTGGTTGTATGGCTGCATAGCAGGACTGATGCTTTGAGGAAAAAAACAGAGGAGTACTGAAGACAGTGAATTTAAAGGTGATCTTCTGCTATTGTGTAGGTCACAACTTGAAGGTCAGCTGAATTGCAAGCTTCTCAGAGATTCCTTTTCAAGGAAGTAATTTAAAAATCTGCTGTTTCTAATATTCCATTGGATTTACTAAATTAAGAACCATTCAGACTACTGAACAGTTTATATTGACAATCATACAGATTGTTTTTGGACTAGCTAAAAGTGGTTAAATGACAGCTAGGTTATAAATGTAGTAGTATTCAATCCAAATTCCACATTTACACTTGAGGTATGGCAGTTTGTGGTAATTCACTTCTGGTGAGCTGATTACTGTTCCTAGACTTTTTATGTCACTTAAAAGGTGGGGAAGTGGTGCTATTTTCTGGTTTGCACCTTCATGTGAAAATTTCCATATACTTTTGGGAATACATCTCAAGAAGCTTGTTCAAGGATATGCATAATCATTTTTAGCTTGTCAAATATTTAAAGCAAGCTGTGAGGGCTGAAGGTGAGGACTCTATAGGGAGTAATGCATTGCGATGTAAAGGGCTTTCCTCTTTCATAACACTGTTAGTCAAAGCACTTGAAAGTAGCGGTGTGCTAGATTTGCAAGTTTTGAGCTGTTTCCTCAGTTGATGCATCTTGGTTACTGTCTCAGTAGAATGTAACTGCTCACCCATGATTTATGTGAGGCAGAATTTGTACAAAAACTGCCTTGTGCCACCAAGTGTTTTTAAAAAAAAAAAAAATAAAATAATTATGACTGATTCTTATCTTAAACCTGAGGATCCCGAGGTAGTTGGTAAACACCTCTTAAGTTAAATAGTTGTTTCAACCAGTAAAATAGTAACACTTTATGAAAATGTAGAAGTGAATGTGACTGTATACAGCAAGTTACGGTGCTCAACTACAAAATTTTTAGTGATTTGACTGTCCTCCAATGGGAGCTTTATTCAGTCATTTCAGTTCCTCCTGCTGCCCAGCATTGGAAATTAGTGTAAGATTTGAAGAAAGAAGGAAACTGGTCAAAAAAGGTACCTTTTTTCTTTTGACTATGTTGCTGTGATTATTTATGGTTACAAATGGGTTTCATAAATAACAGGTTATTCTTCCTAGCCTGTTTTCTTCAGAGACCTTCATGAGAGAGCTGGATTGATACCATGCTTCTAGTGAAAAATTAAAAGGAAATTTAAAAGCATAATCTTTACAGTTCTGCAGAAGATGCCAGTTTCAATGTTTGCAAGGAGTTTGGGCCTGTGTTTATTGAAAAGTCTTGATGGCTTTCTGACTCCCATAATCTCTTCTCTATGGAAACCCTAGTCACCTTTGTGTGAGATAACAGTGAATAATCTGTGTTCACCTATGCTCCATATGCTTGTTACCCTTTTCTAGTTCTGAAACTTTGGAGATGGAACACTGAGTTTTTTGGGGAGTAGGGGAGAGTTGTCAAGAATATGAGTTGGAAAACAGATCAAAATGGTAAGGAAGGGATTATGTAACCATGAGCTGTTGATTAAACATTGAGTGACTTACATAATCACTCCTGTGTAATCTGTATTTTGTAAGCAAACACTGCTGCTTTTTCTGCACTTAGCAGTCACACATTTGTGCCGATGTGCCAGCATTTTAACACAGTGCACCAAATGAACAGTTTTCTGTTGATGGTTACATAACTATGGAAAGTACAATGGTTATTGTACAGGCTCTCTGTAGCAGGGCTTCATATGCATATTTTCTCGATTCCATATTTCCATAGAAGTATTTTAATTTCAGAGTCCTCCAACTGTTTGTAATGCAAATTCTATTTTTGCACCATATTAACAAAGTGCTTTAAACTCTGTATGTATACTCTATCTGCTAATTTACTAAGTATTCTCTCTCAGGTGTGCAGCCCCATCTGTTAAAACTTTGACACTTTCCCACTTATGAGAAACAGAACTTGACAGAGGAAAACTGCTTGCTACTCCATGGCTCTTCTGGAATTCCACTGTATTCAATTTACACATTATCAAATTGAAAAATTACGCAAATTTAACTTACTCAGGCAGTTAATGTTGGTCTTTCATAGTTGCATTTAAATTTCTGTCATTATTTCTAATGATAATAACATGCAAATTTACCTCAAATTCAATTTAAAATTTAAAGTAGACATTTTAAAGAAATGTATTCCTGCTTAGAAGACTGTTAACTTTGTAATAAGACATCTGGATCATGTGGGAATACAAGCATTAAAATCTGCGAGCTCTTAGCTGACCTTCTAGCATGTAATTGTTGCATTGTTACAAATATACAAGGTACATGCAGAAAAAATTCTGTACAGCAGAGGTATCACTATCCTGAATAACATTTTAAATTCTGTAAGGTCTTTCTTAAAGTAAGGAATGTTATAATAACATCTGAAAAAGCTCAGAATTAAAAGATTGGATTATAGTCCTGCAACTGTACAAGATGTTGCTGTTCCACCTTTCAGTTAATAAACGACAGGGAAATATCACTAGAAGAGTCATAAGCCTCATTCTCACTAGGGTTCTATCTGTGCTGCCTTTGTCATTGTATGAATCAATATGTTGGCTTTTGAAAACTTCATTTAAAGTGGAATATTTCATAAAAGTATAGTCAGTCTTTATTGGGGGATTGATGAGATGATTTTGTTGGCAGTTGAAATGCAGGATCTTTCATATGCTGTTATAAACTCTGGGACATCCTCTAGTGCTATAATTTCATCAAATAACTGTTTTTGTTATCCTAAACTCACGCTTGAAATGCTTAATCTATCTCAACTAGGTAATATGCCGTTTGTAGCTACTGCTATAGTTGATGAGTCCTCTTGGGTAGAAGAAACATGACAAAATGTGCATAGCACTTTGTGGCCTCAGAACAACTTTCAGAAAAGAGAGAATAATGAGGTGGGGTAGGAGAAATAGAAGTACAGTAGTGACATAGGTTCCAGAAAATGTTGGGTTGAGTTCCATATGATTCTGCTTAATTGTTATTTGTTAAAGAAAAAAGTGTAGAAGGAAATGGAAGGTTCAATACTAAGCAGAATTTCTGATTTTTTTTTTTTTTTTTTTCCCTTGCAGCACAACGCTAAATTTGTAATGAAATGGAGTCTGGGTCAAGCTCTTTTCGAGTGGAATTTCCAGATTTTTCTAGCACCATTTTGCAGAAGTTAAACCAGCAGCGCCAGCAAGGACAATTATGTGATGTGTCCATTGTAGTTCAGGGCCATCTCTTCCGAGCCCATAAAGCTGTTCTTGCAGCTAGTTCACCTTACTTCTGTGATCAGGTTCTCCTGAAAAACAGCAGGCGAATAGTCCTGCCTGATGTGATGAATCCCAGAGTATTTGAAAACATTCTTCTGTCTACCTATACTGGTCGGCTGGTAATGCCTGCTCCAGAAATTGTTAGTTATTTGACAGCAGCAAGTTTCCTTCAGATGTGGCATGTAGTGGATAAGTGCACTGAAGTGCTAGAGGGGAACCCAACAGTTCTGTGTCAGAAGATGAACCATGGCAGTGATCATCAGTCCCCGAGCAGTAGTAGTTACAATGGCCTTGTTGAAACGTTTGAACTTGGCTCTGCAGGACAGACGGAATTCCACAAAGTGCAGGAACTAAGGGATGGTGAAAATGAAGAAGAGAGCTCTAAAGATGAACTGTCATGTCAACTGACAGAACATGAGTACCTTCCCAGTAATTCTTCAACAGAACATGATAGACTTAGCACTGGAATGACAAGTCAGGATGGTGAAGAAGGAACTAGTGATAGTGCAGAGTATCAGTATACCAGACCTATGTATAGCAAACCCAGCATCATGTCTCACAAGCGGTGGATCCATGTGAAACCAGAAAGATTTGAACAAGACTGTGAAGGTGTTGATAATCCTTATGATGAACACCAAGTTTCTGAATCCATGAATGCCATTCAGGCAGATCATTCAATCCAGTCTTCAGGTGTTGAAGACTTTCATATAGGTGACAAGAAGATGGAAGCAGAATTTGATGAACAGGCAGATGAAAGTAATTATGATGAACAAGTAGACTTCTATGGCTCTTCTATGGAAGAATTTTCTGGTGAAAGGGCAGATGGAAATTTAAGTGCTCACAGACAGGATCTTATGATAGCAGCAGGCTATGGTGAAGGCATTGAAATGGCTTCAGGGATTAAAGAAGAAACGTCCCTCACTGGATTCTCACATGCTGATAAGCTGTATCCTTGTCAGTGTGGTAAAAGCTTTACACACAAAAGTCAGAGAGATCGGCATATGAGTATGCACCTTGGTCTTCGACCTTATGGCTGTGGTGTCTGTGGTAAAAAATTCAAAATGAAACACCATCTTGTAGGCCATATGAAAATTCATACAGGCATAAAACCATATGAGTGTAACATCTGTGGGAAAAGATTTATGTGGCGGGACAGTTTTCATCGGCATGTGACCTCTTGTACCAAGTCATATCAAGCTTCTAAAGCTGAGCAGAGTACTACTGAGATGAACTAAGACATTAGTGCTTACATTTGTTTAGTAGAGTAAGCAAAATAAACTAATTATGCAAATAATGTCTGGTACTTGCTATTGTAAATTCTCAAAAAAAACAAGTTTTAATGATTATGCTGGTATAAGAAGACCAAACGTATATTTTATTTTCCACAGTATTACTCCAAGTATTTGATGTGTGAAGTGCAAATGGTTAATCTGAAAGGTGCTTGCAAAATGACATCTGTAAGGTCTTTGTGACATTGATTGTAATCACAACAGTATTTAGAAGCCCTGTTGTTTTTCTAAGTCTTCTAAATTCACAGTAAAACCCAGCTCTAAATTGACCCAAATCCTGCAAATACTTACATGAAGCATGAATTCAAGCAGCCCTACTTAATGAAAAAGAGAACTAGGATGATCAAACCAGGTTATATGATTCATATTTAAATGAAAAAAATTAGAATTCCACCTCAAACTGGAGACTGCCAACCTACTTAACATGCATCATTAGATAGTCTACATCGTTAAATAGTCTTTGCTTATTGCTTAATGAAAGGCTGTGTTAAAGATGGTTTGGCTTTCCTTTATCTGTTTTCCATTTTTATCCATCTTCAGTAAAACAAATGTTGTCTAATTTTGTGCCGATTTCTATTTAGAGTCTGTAAAGCGCTTAAATATAGTTGAGCACTATATGAACTTCAATCTGTATTAAGTATAATTTGTCTTTGCTCCTCTAGGGTCTAATGCTGTATGACGCTTGACTTGATTTTGATTGCTACGTTGTGAGAGCTTCGAGAAGTGTGTGTAATTAAGTATCTTGTAAAAAAAAAAAAGTAAGATGTAACATTTGGAACTTATCCAAAATAATCAAACATTTAAACTGTAGTCTTCTGCTCAGATTTCTGTGGCTTACTACAGTAGCAAGTACCAAACTCTGTGGATTCATGAATTGACTTTTTATTGGTACAAAAACTTCTTTGAGAACTTCTATCTAGTTTTAGAAACCTGCTTTAGGAAAATGATTTAGTCATTGATAGGTATTTATACTTTTAATTCTTTACTCTTTGAAAAGTTAAGAACTGTAATACAGATTCTTGGTACTGAACTACTGTGACTGGTTACGTGTGATCACAAGCAGCCGGAGTTGTTTACCTCTTCAAATGAAGTTGCTTGTGTAAAAAGTAGAAAGTGTGGTATTTGGATCTATTAATGGTACTGCAGAACATGGTACCATGCTCATATCCAAAGTCTGGATTTTTGCTGGGAAAGTGGCACTTCTGCTTCGTTAGGATGAGGATCTATATGCTGGGCTCTCATTCTTGGAGATAGACGGAGGAGTGTTTGTAGTTCCGAGAGATGCTGCCAGCTCTGCAGGTAGAGTGAATGCATCAATTGTAAAGGTGGCAACAGGATTTTGGGGTTGAAAGCTTAATGCAGTCCTATGCAAAAGCAATTAACCCTTCTTTGTAGTTTACTGAAACATATTATAAAAAAGAAAGAGCTTTTAGAGCATACATAGACTATAATAGAAAGAGGTCATGTCCAAGTACAGTGCTGGTAACATAGGGAAAAAAGTTACCCAGCATCGAAGGCCTAAGCCTGTCTGGCCCCAATTCATGTATTAGATACTACAATATGCAGGATAACGTAGTTAAACAGATGATCCTGTATGGTGAAGCAAAACCACACAAAGATAATTACTATTTAGATGCTTTTTTTGAACTCCCAGTTACAAATTGTCTTAAGATACGACCGAACTGTATCCTGAACATGAATGTCTGTAACAAGCTGGGGGTTTACTACTCAGTGGGCTGTAATTACTGTAACTTCTTTTCTGGCATTCTACTTACAAACTTTAATTTTTTTAAGAGGCTCTTAATTCTTAATCTTCTAATGCTTCAGATATTTTTCATACGGAATTTTGTTAAAACAGATATTCCCAAATATGATGAACCCATTGCTGGCAATGGGCATGAATGGTCAGCACCACAGAGTTCCTATTCTTAGCACTTAATTGAACTCTACAATATACCATGGTGGCCATATATAACCCTTGTAATCAAGGTAACTAAACAGGGATTTGCTCACTAACACTGTAACCTGCTTAATGTATAGAAGCACTTTGTATTTAAAAAAACAAAAAACAAAAAAAAAAAACACACAAAAAACCAAACAAACCATAAAACTTTATAAGTATGTTTTTTAAACTTAGAAATTATATTCCCTTTATGGTTTGTTTCCACACTGCTAACACTGTCTTTTTTAATACTAAAAAAAAAAATTATAATGCTTGCCTGTTTACATGAGTGTAGAGGAAAGAGTTCTTGCACTCAGTGGCCCTATTTTTCCATTCTCCAAGGCCTTACTACATACAGGGTGTCACTTCTGCAAGTACCATCATCACATTTGAGGGAAGGTATTCTCATACTCATTTCAGGAATGATCTTGTATATTATATTAGTTCTCAACCCCTTTCAAATTGTCACTTCAGTGTTGCATAAAAAGGTTAAGGGTGCCTCTTCCCATTTAACCATAAAAAAGGCTGGTCAGAAACACCAGGCTGAAAACCATGGTCAAGCAAAAAATGATTTCTGTTAAACCCAGACCATCCTACAGAGCTGCCAGCAAAACTGTTTCTTTTACCAGCTTGGAATGACTGTTACATGGGACATTTCAAAGTTAAACATTACTCCTATTTGCAGTTAGATTACTTTGAAATAAAGCTTTAAAATAAAATGTACTGCGAGAGACACTTTAAAGGTTTTATAACAGGTCCAGTAGGTCATATTATAGAACCATGTCCTTTTTTAATGACTTAGCGTGAATAGTAACTTTTTAATATTTGCCTATTACTGGTTTACCCCATATTATGACATTGTCTTGAAAGTCCAACAAATGTTGCTCCACTGATTTTGTAGCACTTGGCTTTCTGATGTTAATTTACATGAAACCAATTGATTGCAGGAAAATACTATATGATTGTTGTGAGATCTAGTTGAGAGGATTGATGATTTAAGGGAAGCTTGAGAGACATGTCTAAAATCCTTACTTTTGCTTATCACAGGCGAAACAGTTGACTTGTGTTTTTTCTGAATTTAATTTACTGTCCTTTGACAAACTTCTAATCACTGATTCAGGTATTGCAGGAAAAAGATGACAAAAAATTACTTAAACACTTAAGGAAACATCTTTCCTCCACCTTCCTCAGGCTCAGCTTAAGTCTCTTCCCTGCCTTTGTAGTCTGTTTCCCTTGTTTTCACTGAGCGTGGCACTCAGTCCGTGCCAGTTCTTTTAGTGACGTGACAGATCACACAGGAGGTTGGGCTCATGTGCATACTGGCTTGTCTGATGCTTTTCATTTCTTAGTGGGTGTCCTCTGCTGCTCTGGGCTGGTCAGTGTCACTGTTCATGGTGACACCGGGCCATAGTCCCTTCAGGGATGTGCCTGTTCCAGCTTGGGTCTCCTATGGGCCTCAGTTACTTCAGAGGTGTACCTGCTCTGGCATGGCTTACCTATAGGCCAAAGTTGCCTCAGAAGTTAATCTCCTCAGGCATGGAGTGTGTCCTGTGAGTGTCTCTATCCATGTCCTCAGTGTCTTCTCCATGTGTTTTTCCAAGAGCAGCTCTTCAGTTTCTCTGCATGTGTTTCTTCCCCAGGAGTATCTTCTCCTTACGTGGCTCCCTGCACCTCTTGCTAGCAGCTGCCACTCTTTCTTAAATATGTTTAAGCAGAGGCACTGTGTGCACCTCTGGTTGAAGTTTTGGCACGAAATTGTTTGTTTACCTCTGTTTCAGAGCAGGCTAAAACCTGTTTTGACTAGCACAGGGCAGTTTGCAACCTCTTGCCATATGTCACCCTTGCAGCCCCCTGCTACTGAAACCCTGCAATTTATGGCCAATACAGTTGTACATAGTAAACCAAGATATGCAGCTTTTGTCAAGCTCTTAATCTTTGCTAATGGAGTGGTCTTGTTCAAGATACAGGAAATTATTTCTTGTTTGTGGGGAGGAGGGAAGCAATCCATATATATATATATATAATATGAATGCATATGTATATGATAAATTTCATTAATCTTCCCTTAAGCTTCATCACCTTTAACGATATGGCTTAGAAACATTTGTGCATTTTTATATTGCTGTTGGCTGTAGTAAAGTGAATGTCTTCTGAAAACCAGAATCATTGTACACACAGGAGGCTTTCAGAATTTCCTGCTACTGTGAAGCCATTCATTGTCCTATCAGTGGTAAGAACGCTTAATGGTACTACTAAGTTCCTTTTCATTCCATTTCGCAACTAAGATATTAATTACCATGGAATCTGTGTAACTGCCATTCTGAAAAATTCAACTATTAGCAGGGTTAAGGTCTCTGCTTAGGTGTATATCTGACCTTTTGAGGGAGGAGGTTCCTATTTCACACACCACTCTTGGGGGTTTTTTTTGTTGTTTTGTTTTTTACACATTACCTTTTTTGTTTTATGGGTGAGCAGGTAGACTCTAGAAGGTACTGTCAGTACAATTTTTGGTCTAAGCTTTTTTTTATCTGAGGTGTTTCTGGGGTTGAGAAACTTTGTCCCGTACCAAAAGCAAGGCAGATGATCAAAGACTGATGTATTGGGTTTCTCATGATAAAAAGAATACTTGATGTCCCTGTATTATTGAGCCTGAAAGAATGGAGGCAAGTCAGGTCTTGTTATCTCAACACTTTTGCGTTGGTGCCAGAAAGGTGACTTGTCTCTGAATTATGAGAGCCTACAGCAGTATATTGAGTATTTTGCTTTAACAGAATTAGAACCTTTCTCAAAACAACAAAGGAAAGTTGGGGGGTTTTTTGTCATATAAATGCTTCATTGGATAGCTAGGCTTCTTTAGCTATAAGCTGTAAACTGTCAGTAACCTACGGGAAGATGCTGGAAAACAAAATGGTATATTTTTAATGTGATTAAATTGTTAAGTTCCAATTTTTGCTTGAAGCCTGTGTCTGTCGATTGCTGCTCCTTTTTTTATTATTCATGGGATTCCATATTTCTTCCAGAAATGTAACTGTTTATGCAAGTCAAGTGTATCTTCCTTAA